TCAACCTATGAAAAAATGACAAATATTTGGTTCGTGCAAATACATAACTTACTCACGCCTCGAGAAGGCAAAGGATATGGAAAGTCTATGTCGCATCTGGAAACAGTCTAAATACAGAAGATAGAAGAAATACCTTTCAATTCCAACCAGGGATAAAACCTTTTTACTGGCCCATATAACAAAAATATAGTCATAAGAGGGGCAAAATATATTATTCTCAGGTCACTAACATCATCTCCACACGAGAAAATTGTGTAAAAGCTCTCACTCATATAAGTCTAGTTTTATTAATAGCTAACTTGCATATAAAGTAGTGCTAAAAATACAGACTGACCCTTGGCAGCCACATTGAACTAACCTAAACACGATAATGTTAATTTTCCACTTTTGCTAACTTATATCTTTGAGAAAAGTTTGGAACACGGTTAATAAATATTTCATATTTGTTGCGCAACTCTTATGACACTTATGTAAAAAAAAACAAGACAGAAACGACAAATTAGCAAGAGCGTAAGTACACGTCTTTGGCTCTGATGCGACAGCTGGACTGTATGAAGTAAGTAACTAAAATTCTGGAGCGTTATTTAAATATAAACAGCGACAAATATATTTAGATACTAAGATTCCAGCTGCCATTTACGAGAAGACAGATGAACTTTTATGTTAACTTTATGATATGTTTCTTCTCACTGGAAAATTCATTACAAGTGAATAAAATTTATTTAAACTCCATAGATCTTTGTAGGCCTAAGCCAAGAATGTAGAATATGTCATAGAACAAATTAATTAATACAAATATTAATTACATAGTTATGGCAGTAATTTACAATCAACTAGAGTATTACTGAAAAAAATAAATACACAAAGAAGCTTAAACCACAGCTGAGAATTTTTGGTTGAAGTAAATTTTTCTATGGACGAGTGAGATAAGAGATACTCTTTTAGTGCTGGATTAAACTTCTTCATATCGTGATTCAGATTTTTTATAGTGGGTGGAAGATTAAAAATGATAATATATGCTATATATCTACAAGTTAAACCAAAAATCAAGTTGAATAGATTACTGAATAGAAACAATATCTACAACGAGGCTTTAAAAAGGCCAATATATTTACATTTAAACCTCAACATATATTTTTAATTTTCTTCTTACATCCATCATGTTTTAATTTATCCATGTCCAGATAAAATCATGACACAAAATTATTTAAACCAGCAGCAAAAGGTTATCTTTTATCTCACTTCTTCTACTGTATAAAAGAAATTACTTCAATTGGAAATTATTAAATACTATAAATACTTATGTAAGTAGTTATAATAAGTACGCAATTATAATTCTGTTCTGGTTCCACGTCCTTGGCTTATACTATTTAAGATCTATGGAATATAAATAAAATCAAATTCTAATTTATAAATTTTAAAAAATTGTAATGAATCCTACTGATGGATGAGGGGAAATTATATATATATAAATGATCGCAACAGTTTCTTGAAATATACCATAAGTCTGATAAGTTTCATAAAAAGTTTGAGGAAATGACTGATGTTGAAATAATTATAAATTGTAACTGGATGGAATGAGGAATGAAGCAATCATGACCCAATGTGCAGTACTATCCTATCATCAATGCAAAATCAGGTCAGGTTTCAACCCACAGACTTTCACATGCTAATGCAACTAATACAGGAAACTCCTTGCTTGAGAAAATTGAAAATGACCCAACCTTTGTAAAGGTCTTTTGCCTTTAACTGTATGTTGTGTAACTTTATGACTTATTCGACATCCTACTGTCATTCTAAATGCGTATTAATATGCATGTAATACACAACATCACATCCAGATTATTCAGTACTTATTCACCGATGTCCTTACTTCAGCACATAATCACATATTTACTCAATTATTAAGTTCAGTTCTCAACACAGACTTGTGTCTGCCTCGCACTGGGTTTTGTGGTCCAAAGCTCCAATACAAGTATGTTCAGTGACACTATTCACATGAAAATATAATTACTTCATTAACACTAAAATGTAGACAGGAAGATATTAATTGTACAACTGCAGAAATATGTATACAGATTTGGGTGACTGCCTTAATAACATTCAGAGACTGAGGTATGTTAGGGATATGCTATTTCACTAAAGAATACTTTCACTGGGTGTAAGTGATGAAATTCCAAAACTGCAAAATATTAAACACATTCATCTTCATTTACAAATAGGACAATGTTTCGAATTAAATCGTTTAGTTTCACACTAGTTTCTTCACGTTTCGTAACACATCATGGTGGATGATATTGATATACTACAATAATAAAATCACACAGATCGGTAAATAGTGAATTCATTAACATAACCTTTAAAACTGCATAAAATACACGTCAGCGTAAGAATTAAACATTTAACAGTGTACGAAAAGTTAAACAGGATATAAATACAGTAAACAATAGTCTATAACGCACAGCTGGTGTAATATCATCTATCGAATGATACAAATAACAAAAAAAACTAATAAGGAACAAGGTGAAGTGTCCATGTCAGTCTCTGTACACCTGTGCATATTTTAGCTTACCTGGTAATTTCAAGCCCCAAAATTAGTAAACAGCGTCAACAAACTTGTCTATTGATTTGAAATTTTTAATCCTATCGTAGTCACAATTTAAAGAAATACTATGATATAATATGACAAATTTATATATCTAACCCCGACACACAATAGCCGATTTTCTATGGGATATTCGATACAAAACATACACACCTCCCACGCATGCGCTGTGCCTATTTGTGTGCCGTTTAGCACGCATTGGCCATCTAGTGTCATTCCTGAAATTAATATGTCGAGAGATCACATCTTGTATTCTGTATAGATGTCTCCCTCATTGGTATCGATTTCTGTACCCTGAGAGTCGAACGATATGGTCGAAATGCAGGTCTTATTCCACTATCTAATCGACCAATGGTTTTATCGTCTGGGTCGCGACCCAAAATCGGGTTTGCGGTGCTAATTACAGGATCCCAGTAAAATTTGATATTTTAGAATACCGTTTTACTGCAAGAAGGCCCGTCTTATAAATAGTCCTGGGCAATGGTGACAGATCCAATCGCGAGGCCCTGGGCGAAATTGATAACCAAGACTAAAAAAAGAGAAAGAGAGGGTGAAAAACAAGTCTAATATGCATAATATGAACATACGAACCAAAATAATACCACTAGTTAGGCACTCATTGTACGTCAATGTTGACAATACAAGATACCAACAATTGCCAATTACTCATAAACGTTAAAAGATGTAATGATATCAGCGAAAAGTACACAATCAATCTACTGTCAACAATATATTTTCATGGAAGGCATTTATAACTTATAGTTTGCTGTATGCGGACTTTTATCGAAAACTTTCTGTTCCTTCTTTATTCTTGTCAGTCTCAGATAATCTATAAGGCAAACTACGGCAACAATATGAGAAGAAATGGCAATTCGGACACATACAAGCACAGTGTGAGGTACACGAGGCCCTGGCATAACGTCAATTTCACCCAGCACCTTCGCTACCAATTTAATCTTCCATGGAGTCAAATGGCGTATACGGCTCTTTTTCAAAATCACAGCCCAAATCGTAAAAGGTAAAGATACTCCTGATGACGCGTCATACCATGAGGACATGGTGGAGTGACCCTCGTTGTGGTTTCTTACCCCGGAGGAAGCTGGTTGGACGCCAGCCCTAGATGGCAGCAAGTACATCATTACAGACCTATAACTGGCGTCGCGTTTGCGCGCGCACAAAACACGTCATTGAGCGACGCCTGGCGTAACACGTATATGTTTCCATTTGACATAAATAGTAGCAGTGTTGTTCTGTATAGGTCTGGTTCAAGTTGAGTTCTGATCAATTTCACATCTTGAGAAAATATAATGTAACAGCGACCCTCACCTACAATGTTCGTGTGGTGACTGCAGGTGTATAAGAGACGTCGTCAAATGGTACCGAATTTAGATCAGCTTATTTTGTGAAATTTAAAGTCCTTTTCAGACCACTGCAGACTTAAATGCAATGAAAATATTGAACTAAAACAGTAATAATCCACTGTGTTGGGTGTGACTGGTTTCCTTGAGAGAGCAACAGAATTGGGATCAACAGGGGTTAATAACTCAGTTCGTCTTAATATTTCATCCCAGCTCTAATCTTACTGAATTTGTTGTCGACTAACAGAGCTACCGATAACGCCTGCAACACGAAATCACTTTGTTTACAGATTTTAACAACTGATATTTGTGGCTTTGCTTCATAACAATTTAACAGACATGAGTGACCTTGCAGAGAATGGTTTAATATCAACAATTCTCCCCGAAGTGTGTTACCCAAGTCTTAATGCAACAGCAGGACTTGTTTCAACACCTATGAGCGAATTTTTGGCAGATGAGGAAGCAGCATCAACCCGTCCACTTCTCACCCCATCACCACCTGCAGAATTTGACCACCCCCTCTCCATAACTCCATCTACTGGTAAGAGTACATACTAAATTTCATTATATATATATTATTTATTTTATTGCCTCTTCTTCTCACCGCTTGGCACTTCACTCCACTCTACCAATAAGATAATTCGCATCTTATTGCCTGCTCTGTGAAAATGTGGACTACTTAGTGGTTTCACGGACTGTGACACAGTGTAGTCTTGTAGATGGTCACCAGCATTTCAGAGGAATCTATCACCTGTATCTTCAGGATATAATTCTACTTTGAATACGGTGGCCAAACAAATATTAACACATAATTTAATTCCTTAGGTTTAGTAAGTTCTGTGTAGTTATTTTCAAAACTCTTCAGTTGTTTAACACACAGATTTATTTGTAATACATGAAGATGTTTTAAATATAAATTGTTGTAAGATTATATGAAATGTAATTTATCAAAAATTATGTGTTACTGAGAAAGGTACATCTTGTTAGAGCCCAGTCCCTTTATTTTATGTCATATTAAGTCATTCGTATCTGATATTCTTCTTAATATTATCAGATTTTAAAATTATTCTTTTGCAGGAATGGCTTATGAGAGACAGATCAGTCCCACAAGCATTGATGAACTGTCCAGCCTGCCAGGTTTGAATTGTGATGCTACACTTGGTTTTGTTGGACTGACAGCCACTGACATGCACCCTAATGAGCACAACATTATTCATCACAATGACGGTAAACACCTCTGGATTACCCCATCTATTACCTCAATTTTGTTTGTTTCTCCTGCCATTCATTACAACATTCTTACAGTCAATAACTTGTATACTGCAATCAGTTAAGTACATGGCTGTGAGCTAGACAATTGGGGTTTGATTCCTAGCCAGAGCATGATTTTGTCTTCACGACCTCATTTAGACTAGCTCTGGTACCAAATTTGTTCTCCAAAGCAATGGCAAAAGCTGAGGTCTATAATTCATTAATCTTCACCTCTATACCCCTAATTTGTTTTTATTGTACAGTGCTTAAGTACAAGAAAAACATTTTTTTATCAGCCCAAAG